CTTCTTTAGTGAATTCCCTCTTGACAAGTTATACCCACATTTTTCTATTAAACCATTCTGTTTTTCTTATTGATTTGTAGGGGCTTTTTGTATATTGGGGAAATTAATCCCTTTTCTGTTATAGATCACAAGTATTTTCTTCCAGTTTATCTTTTCACTTTGTGTATGGGATCTTTTGCCATTATCAAATTTGTCAACTCTTTCCTTTATGGGTTCTTTTTTTTTTTAAGATTTTTATTTATTTATTGAGAGAGAGAGAGAATGGTAGAGAGAGAGCATGAGAGGGAGGAAGGTCAGAGGGAGAAGCAGACTCCCTGCTGAGCAGGGAGCCTGATGCGGGACTTGATCCCAGGACCCCAGGATCATGACCTGAGTCGAAGGCAGTCGCTTAACCAACTGAGCCACCCAGGCACCCTCCTTTATGGGTTCTGAATGTGGTGTCATGATTAGAAATTTTCTTCTTAACCGTGATTCAAAAAATATTCTTTTATATTCTCTTCTAATATTTATTTTATTTTATTTATTTATTTATTTTAAAGATTTTATTTATTTATTTGACACAGAGAGAGAGACAGTGAAAGAGGGAACACAGCGGGGGAGTGGGAGAAGGAGAAGTAGTCTACCTGCGGAGCAGGGACCCCAATGCAGGGCTCAATCCCAGGACCCTGGGATCATGACCTGAGCTGAAGGCAGACACTTAATGACTGAGCCACCCAGGCGCCCCTATTTTTTTTTTATTATTAAGTAATCTTTACACCCAATGTGGGACTCAAACTCACAACCCCAAGATCAAGAATTGCATGTTCTGCTGACTCAGCCAGTCAGGCAGCCCCTAATATTTTTTTTTAAAGATTTTTTTTTAAGATTTTATTTATTTTTTGACAGAGAGAGAGACAGCGAGAGAGGGAACACAAGCAGAGGGAATGGGAGAGGGAGAAGCAGGCTTCCCGCGGAGCAGGGAGCCCGATGCGGGGCTGGATCCCAGGACCCTAGGACCATGACCTGAGCCAAAGGCACACGCTTAATGACTGAGCCACCCAGGCGCCCCTAAAGATTTTATTTTTTAAGTAATCTCTACACCCAGTGTGGGGCTCGAACCTACAACTCTGAGATCGAGTCACATGCTCCACTGACTGAGCCAGCCAGGTGCCCCATCTTCCAATATTTTATTTTTTTTACTTTTAAAGATTTTATTTATTTATTTATTTGACAGAGAGAGAGACAGCGAGAGAAGGAACAGAAGCAGGGGGAGTGGGAGACGGAGAAGCAGGCTTCCTGCAGAGCAGGGACCCCAATTGGGGGCTCCATCCCAGGACCCTGGGATCATGACCTGAGCCGAAGGCAGACGCTTAATGACTGAACCACCCAGGTGCCCCCGTCTTCCAATATTTTAGAGTTACTGTGTGTGTGTTTATATTTTCATCCTTCTGGAATTTGAAATCATCTTTACCCATTCATAGTCATCAGGATAATTGCATCTTCATATGACGGTCATCACATAGAAACCCCAGAGATCACTCAGAGACCGGAGTCTTTAACTGTTACCTTGAGCTTTTAGGGAAGGGCAAAGGATTTTAACCTGACCTTCAAGATTCTAAGGATTTATCCAGAATTTTCTCTTGAATTTCCCAGGGGAAAAGCTGCAGTGACTTTATTTACAGCCTTAGAACTGTTAAGCCCCAGGGGTGCCTGGTTGATTCAGTGTAGAGATTACTTAAACATAAAAATCTTAAAAAAAAAAAAGAACTGTTAAACCCAAGCCAAGCCTCTTCCTGCTTGGTCTCTCCAGTCTTATCTTCCTCTGCTCTCCTAGGTATACCCTTAATGATTCTGAATTTTCATGGAACTTTCCTGAATCCATGCCTTTGTCTAAATTGCTTTGTTCTCACTGTTTTGGGCACCCTTCATTCTACCTGTTTTTTTAAGGCCTAACTTAAGTGCTTCAATTTTCCATGCAGTCTTCCTTGATTCCTCAAGTCTACCCAACTTCGTCTTCTCTCTATTCCTGAGGCATGGAATGTGCCACCTAGGAAGATAATTTTCTGCCAGGTACCACCATTATCTGCACACCTGATTCTCTCATTTGACCTCCTTAAGAGTATCTTTGTAGACTCATGATGGCTGGCATATGGTAGGACTTAGTAAATGCTGGATGGCTAAAGTTTGAGAGCTTGTTGTCTTTCCTGTCTCTGCTCTTAGACCCACCCCAAAAGCCTAGTGTATGAATCGGGAGAGAAAGAAGAGGAAAAGTGGGAGGAGTACAAGCTGGTGCCCTTGGCTTGGAGTGCTGCTTCTAGAGGAGCTGGTATGCTGGTACTGTCTAGATGCACTGGGAATGAAAGACAAAGGGCAGGGGCAGTAGAGGACAGGTGTCCTGTTCAGCCTCTTCTGGCCCCAAGAGAATTACCACTGGGATTCACACACAGAAATTGTCAAGTATGAGTCACTCCTAGGAAGGTGAAGTTTTTTGTTTCCCACTTCATTTCCATTTCTTAAGAATGGGTTGTATCCATGGGGCATAGGGAGACACAGCAGGCTGGCCCAGGCGTAGATGGTCAGAAACCAGATCCCCACATAAAACAAGAAGGAAGAGAAGGAAAAATTATTGGATCAGGAGACCAAGGCTGGTGAGGAAATCTTATAAAGTTCTTATCTGATGGGGGAGGCTTGTCTCTGGTCTCAAGGAGTCCTTCTCTAAGAGGCACAGGCCCAGTCCTCCAAAGGTTTTCCCTTCCTAATCCTCCATGGCACCATAGTCTTCTGATTCCTTTTCTACTTCTTTTTTTTAATGATTTTTAAAAATTTTTTTAAAGATTTTATTTATTTATTTGAGAGAGAGAGAATGAGAGATAGAGAGCATGAGAGGGAAGAGGGTCAGAGGGAGAAGCAGACTCCCTGCTGAGCAGGGAGCCCGATGTGGGACTCGATCCCAGGACTCCAGGATCATGACCTGAGCCAAAGGCAGTGGCTTAACCAACTGAGCCACCCAGGCACCCTCCTTTTCTACTTCTCTGGTCACTACTTTTCCATTCTTTATCTGCTTCCTCTTCCCATGCCCTATTTGTCAGTGTTCCAAAGGGTCCTACCCTCAGAAATTTTAATTAATCTGATTTCTGTTCTTCTAGCCAAACCTGCAAGAACTTGACTAAAGTAAAAAATCTTAAAGTCATCCTGAGTCCTTTTATTTTCTCACACTGTGCATCTAATCTGTGAGCAAATTCTTATTCCTCTCCCTTCAAAATGTACTCAGAACCCTAGCCATTTCTAATCACCTTCAGTGCTACTACAACTCCATAGTACTACCTAGGACTATCATTTCCTGCTTGGATTACTGCAATAATCTCTAAATGGTCTTTCTTCTTTCACCCGTGCCCTTCTTTAGCTTATGCTCAGTGTAGTAGCTAGAGTGATCCTACTAAAAAGATTATTTCCCTTCTCAGCTCACAACTCTCTAATGGCTTTCAGCTCACTTAGAGTAAAAGCCAAAGTCCTTAAAATGATCTAAAGTTTGCTGTGTGATTTAGTCCCCTGTTACCTCTCTGACTTCATCTCCCAATTATGCTCTTTGCTTACTTCATTCCATCATTGTTCCTAGAATATAGAAGGTGAACTTCCATCTCAGGGCCTTTGTACTTGGTATGCCCTTGGATTGGCATTTTCTTTTCCTAGACATCTGCAAATCTTTCACTTCCTTTACTCAGGTCTTTACTCAGATGTCACCTTTTCCTGGCCATCCTTTATAAATTTCAATCATGGACGCCTTCTATTTCCTTTCCTCTGCTTTATTTTTTCTTCTTAATCTATCACCATTATTATTAGTCATTTCCCTTTAGAATATAAGCATTGTGAGAACAGGAATTTTTTTGGGGGGGTTTCTTTTATATATAGATCGATCGATCGATCTATCTATCTATCTATCTATCTATCATCTATCTATCTATCCCCAGTGCATAGAACAGTGCTTGGTATACTACTGGCACTCAGTAAATGCTTATTGAATGATGAATGTAAAGTTTAATTGCTCAAGGAGTATCCGTATACCACACATGTGTACTCCTTACCTCTTTCTGATTTCTAAGCTTACATTCCCTCCTGAACATCCCTCCAGAAAATCTGCCATCATAATTTGGACAGCTGAACTCATTTTTACTTCCTTTAGCACTTCAGTAAGCTTTACTTCTTTGTTTCTGTTAAAAACAGACCCCGGAACTTGGCTTTTCTTCTTTATGATTTATTCTCCCATGCAGCAGGTCTCCACACGGGAGTGTTGTTGAGTCAATCCCCTAAATTTTGGTTCAGTTCATCCCCTATTCTCCATCCCTGCTGTCCCTGCTTTAGTTCAGGTGTGAATCTTTTTTACTCAGTGCAGAAGTCTGCCGTGTAGTCTCTAGTCCATTTTATTCACCGCTATCATTTTAATTCTCCTGATGAAGAGTTTTATTCAGCTCACTGCTCTGCCACAAACCTATCGCTGCCCATTATTTGTTGAATTAAGTTGGCAAATAATCCAGAATTGATGATTTGCTATTTTCTGCTTAACTTCCCCCTTCTGGAATCCCCACCTTCTTTTATTGTGGGTTACAACTACTGCACCCTGGGGTGCCTGGGTGGCTCAGTCGGTTAAGCAGCTGCCTTCGGCTCAGTTCATGATCCCAGGGTCCTGGGATCAAGCCCCGCGTCGGGCTCCCTGCTTAGTGGAGAGTCTGCTTCTCCCTCTCCCTCTGTCTGCCTCTCTGCCTACTTGTGCTCTTTCTTTCTCTCAAATAAATAAATAAAACCTTAAAAAAAAACCTGCCGCATGCTTTAAAATACAAATATTATCTTCTTTGGAATTTTTTTTTAATAAAGATTTTATTTATTTATTTATTTGACAGAGACACAGCAAGAGAGGGAACACAAGCAGGGTGAGTGGGAGGAGAAGCAGGCCTTCCACTGAGCAGGGAGCCGGATACGGCCAATACGAGAACCCTGGGACCATGACCTGAGCCGAAGGCAGACGTCTAACGACTGAGCCACCCAGGCACCACTTCTCTGGAATTCTGAAGAGAAAACAGGGTTGAAGAATTAGGCATTAGAGTCTACACATTCTTTATGTACCCAGAAAGTGTAAAGATGTAAATCTTTCCTAATCTCTTAGCCAAAAGCCAATTTTTCCAGAGCAATTAATGCAACTGTTAGGCCATTATCACTCTCTGATTTTTCGTGGAGTTAACTGTTAATGCTTCGGTTTCTCTTACCAAGTAGGAACTTTTGGGAACAAAGACTCATCTCATGCAGTTATGAATCCTCTATGCACCTGATTCCAAGTGACATCCAATAAATGCAGAAGGCAGTAAATGTCTGGGATTGGGTTACCTAGTTTAAACCGCTGGATGTCACAACTGGAAGGAGATTTAGAGGTTGCCTTTCAACCCAATCTTTGTAAATGGGGGAAATGAGGCCCGTAAAGAGTGGGACTTGAACCAGATCACAGACCCGGGACCAGAAGCCAGACATTCTGATTCCCAAGTAAGTCTCATTAGTAAGTCTTTGTGCGTCCCTTCGCGATTCGAACCTCTCAGATTCTCGCCTGGGCCGCTTCACCAGCCTCTATGCCTTACCCTTTTAGTGACCCCCACCCTTCCCTTTCTTCCTTTGGGTCAGCAGGGTCCACCCACTCCAATTGCAACGGTCCAGGAATCTAGAGTTGCTGGGGAGTAGAAGAGAGATTAGCTACGTCACCGTCGGCTCCTCCCATTGGCCCAGGGAGGGTGGAGCGCGGCGCCATGACGTCAGACGCCCAAAGGGGCGGAGTGGTGAGGGGAAGGAGGAGGGAAGTAGGACTTCAACATGGCGGCTGTGGTACTGGCAGTGGGTACGGTGACGGCCTGGCCCGGGGCGGGCAGAGTTGGAGGTGGTGGCGTTCGCTTTCCCTAGGGGCCGTCAGGAGCTCAGCGGTGACCGATTCTGGGAGGCCGTCCGGCGCCAGCACGTTTCGGCTTCTGGGACGGCAGCGGCAGCGGCGTTCAGGTGAGGGGGCCTCCAGCTGGGAGAAGGGGGGGAGAGGGGCGGAGTTGGGGGAGGGGACCAGCACCGGGAGACGGATGGGGTAGGATTCCCTGGGAAGAGGTTGGAGGCCGAGCGGGAAGAAAGGAGCTGTAGTTAAGGGGGTAGGAGGGAGAAGGGGCCAGAGAGCCGTGGCTTGGGGAGGATTATGGGAGAGAGGTCGGAGTGAGGGGACCAGAGTTGAAGGGGCGGAAGGCAGATGGGATGCGGAAAAGGAGTTCGGATTAAGGGGACTAATACCTTACTGGAAGACAGGCGCAGTAGATGTGTATCTCGCTGGAGTGAGAGCTCGGTGGGAATTAGAGGATGTCGGGGAGGAGGACCCAGGTTTTAGTAAAGGCGAGTGATTGGGAGTTGAGGGTGAGTTGGGGAAGTGAGATGCAGATTTACTTCTCCCTGAGGCGTTGAGATGAGGGAAAAAGGAAACCAGAGCAGGGTGAGGGGTCTTTGGGGACATCTTTGACGTTGTCTGGCCTTCTCCAGTATGTTTATCTTGCTTCTTTTATTTCTTGGGTGGAGCCTTACCTATGCAGTCCACCTGGGCCTCAGAAACAGTCCCAAATCTTTACTGTGGAACATCAAGTTACTTTTCATGTATTTGATCTCAATTAGGGATCTCTGTCTGACCTTTGGTTGTCTCCACACGTACTTGTTTCCAGACTAGCCTCTTGAAAATGAAAATACATTTTATATTAAGCTGAAATAAAAATTTGAATTTTTAAACACCGTAGAGTGTTAGAAAACGAGATTTGATAATTTAGTTAACTATTAAATAACTTTTTGTTTATAGCTTTGTGTTCTAATCCCACTTACTAGTGTTTTCTCTCTTTCCTCAGTTGTATTTATTAGCATTTGAGAAATTGGATAGACATGATGGATCTTTCTCTTTGGAATTTTGTCACATTTGATTGGGGGAAAGACAGGGCACTTAGTCTTTAGTGATAGCTAGTTCTTTCTAGTTAATGTCCCAGACTAGTTAAAATGAAAGTTTATGTATTATACATAAATATTCAGAGACTAAAAGAATTAGATTTTCTGCATTAACCTAAGTGGAATTTTGTAAATTAGATTTTTATTTCTAATCAGTTCTGTTCAGTTTTTCTGTTATTTATTCAACATTTAATGCCTACTGTGCGTTGCATTAAGAGTCATTCTAATTATGGAAATGGGAAAATTAATGTTTCTCTATCACTGCACAGCAAATAACTTACTAACTTGCTATGACCTCATTGGAAGAAAAAGTGTTACTTTAGAAATGATGACAATGGAAGAAAATTAAACTGTGTGGTTATAAGATGTTCCTGAATTTTGGGGCACCTGGGTGGCTCAGTTGTTAAGCGTCTGCCTTTGGCTCAGGTGCCCCTTATCGGGCTCCCTGCTCGGCAGGAAGCCTGCTTCTCTCTCTCCCACTCCCCTTGTGTTCCCTCTCTCCCTGTCTCTCTCTCTGTCAAATAAATAAATTTAAAACTTTTTTTTAAAGATTTTTATTAATTTGACAGAGAGAGGATACAGCGAGAGAGGGAACCCAAGCAGGGGGAGAGGGAGAGGGAGAAGCAGGCCTCCCCGCCGAGCAGGGAGCCCGATGCAGGGGCTCGATCCCAGGACCCTGGGATCATGACCTGAGCCGAAGGCAGACGCCTAACGACTGAGCCACCCAGGAGTCCCCTCCCTTTTTTTTAAAGATTTTTTAGGGCACCTCTCTCCCTCTCCCCCTGCTTGTGTTCCCTCTCTCGCTGTGTCTCTCTCTCTCAAATAAATAAAATCTTAAAAAAAATAAAAAGTTCCTGAATTTTTCTTTGACCCATTACTTCATCATGATGTATTTTATGTGTATCTGAAAGATTTTATTTTAAAATTTTTATTAAAATAATTTAAAAAATTTTAAGTAATCTCTACATGCAATGTGGGGCTCGAACTCAACCCCAAGATTAAGAATTGCATGCTGCTCCGACTAAGCCATCTAGATGCCCCTGAAAGATTTTTTTGATTTTGATTTTAAAGACGACAGTAAGTTTCCTGATGTGATAATATTAGGTCTGTAAACAGTTCTTATCAATGGTTGTTAGTTCACATTTCTTAGACTGGCAAATGTCACTTTATCTTGTGCGTCTTTTCTTTTATATCTTAAATATGGTAAGGTACTTAAAATGAGGATTCTTGAAGTTTATTATTTATTTATTTTAAAAAGATTTTATTTATTTATTTGACAGAGACAGAGAGAGGGAACACAAGCGGGGTGGGGGGGGGCGGGCGTGGGAGAGGGAGAAGCAGCCCTCCCATGCAGCAGGGAGCTTGTGGCGGGACTCTATCCCAGGACCCTGGGATCATGACCTGAGCCAAAGGCAGACGCTTAATGACTGAGCCACCCAGGTGCCCCAGGATTCTTGAAGTTTAATTCAGTGACTAAAATTCTCTGAGTATTTTCAGCATTACAAACGTATTTTCATTACCCCAGAGTATATATGCCAATATCACATTTTTCCTGATCTCTAATTAAATTGTTGAACGTTTTGAGGGTTTTTGTTTTGTTTTGTTTTTAAAGTAAACTCTACACTCAGTGTGGGCTTGAATTCATGACCCCGAGATCAAGAGTCTTGGCCTACTGACTGAGCCACCTGGGCTCTTCTGTTTTGAGGTTTTTAACATGGAGATTATTTTAAGTGTAAACCTTTTTCCCACAAGCAAACCAACTCCCCCCCCCCAAAAAAAAACCAGTACCAGGGCGCCTGGGTGGCTTGGTCGTTAAGCGACTGACTTTGGTATAGGTCATGATCCCAGAGTCCTGGGATCAAGTCCCACATCAGGCTCCCGGCTTAGCGAGAGACCTGTTTTTCCCTCTCCCACTCTCCCTGCTTGTGTTCCCTCTCTCGCTGTGTCTCTGTCAAATAAATAAAATCTTCAGGAAAACAAAAAAACAAAAAAAACAGTACCATCAATTCATTAATCAGGTAATTTTCTTTAGGCTTTTTAAGAAATGCAGAAGTTAGTATGTAGTACTTTAAATATGAAATAGCTTTTTCTGGGTGCCTGGGTAGCTCATTCGGGTAGGCAGTGACTCTTGATTTCAGCTTAGGTCATGATCTCAGGGTTGTGAGATTGAGCCCTGGATGGGGCTGCCTGTTGGGCGGGGAGCCTGCTTAAGATTCTCTCCCTCCCTCCCCCCACCCCTCTTTAAAAAAAAGGGTTTTTCTTAGAATAAAAAAACCCTTGAATCTTAGAAATCAACTGGGTTTAGATTTTAGCATAGCTTGGGCATCCCTGCTTCTGTATCACGAAGATAAGTGAAAATCTTGTCTTTTCCAGAATCTAATAATTTAGGAAAGCCTTTCAGTGAGAGGAAGAAGTAAGCAGGTATTTCTCTTCTAACCTGTACTGCACAATTTTGTAATATTAAAAATAATTTGAATTAGGAGTAATATTTTCCTATGAATTGAGAGTTGTTATTTTAGACTTTAAAATTTTTAGGTGAGAGGAGCAAGACTTAAAGGGAAGGGTGCTAACTGGGCGAAAGCTAATGAGGTAGGCATTGTTTAGCACTTTACATAATCTCTTAATCTTTGCAATGTGATTAGGTAGGCAAGTTGTGATACACATGCTTTTTAGCTGTTGAGGAAATTGAGGATCAGTGAATTTGAGTCATTTAACATTACAGAGATAAAATGGTAGAGTCTGAATTTGGACTTGAATTTGTTATACTTCAGTGCCCAAACTTACCTGTTACACCTTTGTCCCTCTTAGGCAGTCACAAGATCATTCCAATACCTATCAAGTAAATTTAAAGTATAAGCACTATTTTTAAAATAATGCCATTTAAAACTACTTGTTTTTTTTGGAATAGTAGTATAACTGGAATAATAAATAGGTCATTAAAATTGTAGTCTTTAAGATGTCATTAGTATTCTAGGAGGAAATGAATACTTGAATATTTTGTACTTAACAAAATAAACTGGATAAACTGGATAAGAGACTAAAGTTTTCTTATTTGTATTGCTGAGTCAGGTAGGATTCAGTTCATTAAGGGCCAAAATTTGTGTTTAGCAGTAGTCTGCATGTGTTCTCATAATTCTGGATTAGTCATTATCAGTTGCTTAATTGCTTACCAAACCCTTCTAGTGGTTCAGTCACTGTGAATTGGCTCATGGTAATTGTGAATCTTGTGGTTACTGAGTCAAGAGCCAGCAGTATGTTTTGGTTGCCTCACTTCCTCCACAACACTTGATATTGTCAGACTTTTAATTTTTTTTCTAACCTAATAGACTTGAAACGAGTGACTTTTGGTATCAGGATGTGTTTATTGTTTTTATTAGCATTTCCTTAAGTTGAGCATCTTTTCATATGTTCATTCATTATTTGTGCTTTGTTTGTGAAGTGTATATTCAAGTTCTTTGCCTATTTTGAGTTGTTTCTCTTTTTCTGATTGACTTTTAAGACTTTTTTTTTTAAAGCTTTTATTTATTTATTTGACAGAGAACGCGTGTATGCGCACAAGCAGGGGGAGCAGTAGGCAGAGGGAGAGGGAGAAGCAGGCTCCCTGCTGATCAAGGAGCCTGACTTGGGGCCCCATCCCAGGACCCTGAGATCATGACCTGAGCTGAAGGCAGACACTTAACTGACTGAGCCACCCAGATGCCCTGAAAAGTTCATAATTTTAATGAATTGAAATATTCAGCTTTTTATGGTTTGTGCTTTTTGTATCATTTAGGAAACCCTTCTCTGCTAGGCATGCTTTTTTTTTATTTTTATTTTTTATTTTATTTATTTATTTTTTTTAAAAAAGATTTTATTTATTTATTTATTTGAGAGAAAGAATGAGAGAGAGAGAGAGAGCACATGAGAGGGGAGAGGGTCAGAGGGAGAAGCAGACTCCCTGCCGAGCAGGGAGCCCGATGCGGGACTCGATCCTGGGACTCCAGGATCATGACCTGAGCCGAAGGCAGTGGCTTAACCAACTGAGCCACCCAGGCGCCCTAGGCATGCTTTTTTTTTAGATTTTATTTATTTGACAGAGAAATAGCGAGAGCAGGAACACAAGCAGGGGGAGTGGGAGAGGAAGAAGCAGGCTTCCCACCAAGCAGGGAGCCCGATGTGGGATGCGATCCCAGGACCCTGGGATCATGACCCGGGCCGAAGGCAGAAGACGCCCAATGACTAAGCCACCCAGGCGCCCTTTTTTGTTGTTGTTGTTATTTATTTGAGATTTATTTATTTGTTTTAGAGAGAAAGCGCGGGAGGTGGGGAGTGGGAGAGGGAGAGAGAGAATTCCAAGCAAACTCCTCTGAGTGCGGACCCTGACGTGGGACTTGATCACAAGATCCCGAGATCATGACCTAAGCTGAAATCGAGTTGGACACTTAACTGACTGAGCCACCCAGGTGCCCCAAGTTGTTTTTATTGTTTTAAGTAATCTCTACACCCAGTATGGGGCTCAAACTCACGATCCTGATAATCAAGAGTCACA